CCTCTCCTCTCCTCTCCTCTCCTCTCCTCTCCTCTCCTCTCCTCTCCTCTCCTCTGGCTCCAGGCAGGATGTTCATCTTGTGGAAAGTTCTCCACAAGGTCAGTGTTCCTACCAGTAACTTAGATGCTTGCTAGATCTAGAGGCAGCAGTGGTGCTTTCTAGCAAGCATGGCAGAGAGGACAAGGATCACCAGCTTGTGGCCATGGAGGAAAGGGGCAGGCAGCAGAGAAAGGTCCCCTTCCCTGCTCCTTGCAGCAGCAAAACCCACAACCCCTGCCTTCATAACAGGGCAGCAACTTTGGCAGCCTCATTTTGGGGGTATGGGAAAGGGGCCATTGTGAGGACAGTGATTTTCCACTTCCCTCCCGTCTCACAGGCAGGAGCTGGGGTTGTGGGGAAGAGCCCGTTGTTTTGCGCTAGGTATTCTGACTGCAGGATAGGAGTGTGTCACTTGAAGCTGTTATTTTTGAGTGTGTGCGTGTGCTCACATAGTTCCTAAACTCTACATTGCATTAAGAGTTCTAAAATCCAGGGACATCTTGACCACCTGCCCTTTGGTTTACGTAGTGCTGGTGGCTAAATGAAGAGGAGACAGTTGATGGTGTTGTCTGAGAGGCATGTTCCCTGCCACCTGCAGGAAGCTGGTGTGATTCTCCACTTGGGTGCTTTATGTTGTTGCCTTCTGGGCAGGCTGAGGCTGTGGACTAAGGCTGGTGCTGGTGCTTTCTTCCTCTGAAATGTCTTGGGTGCTCCTGTGCTTGACAGAGCTTCATTTCAGGGACTGATCTTGGACATTTTCCTTTTATCACAGAGCCAACAAAACAGATCCTCAAGCAACTGAGTGACAAAGGTGAGAGAGTATTGCCTTTCCCTTCTTCCCCCAGAACTGTCTAACTTGTAAATGCAAGCCATTTCTCTATTTCTAGGCAAAGTGATTAAGTAGCTGGTTTCTCTAGAATTTTGTCCCCATCATAGTTCTGGCAGTCAGGGCCCGTGCTTTAATTTTGAAGGATTCCTTGACCTCTAAAGGTTGGAAGAGGGCATGGCCAGAAACATCACGATCTGGGGAGGGATGGGTGGGGCCTGGATTTTCAGCCTGGGTTTTCCGAGGCAGGGGGCTAGGAAGATTGAAGAGACAAAATGGGTTTTGCCCTTACTTAACAGAAAGGAGGAGGAAATTGCAGAGTTCAAAATTAGTGTTTTTGCTGTGAAATGCTGGCAATGCTGTCTGGGGGCATTGTATTAGCTACAAACAGATGGTGGAGTCTGGCACAGCCTGTGGGCTGCCTGCCCTTCTTTACAGAATCACTCATTTGCCATTTTTTCTCTCTCTAATGATGAGCCTCTCTGAAATGATCGAAGTGACTACAGTGATATGCCTGTGCAACCGCATAAAAATAAATATATGTTTGTATATGAGCTGCTTGTTGCGCGTGCGGGTCCCTGCAAAATGGAGAAGGGACACAAGGGTCAAGCAGTGGGCCTGGATGCCGGATGCATAACTGAGCAAGGAAATGAAACCCTATGGTTTAACTGCCTCTTCTTCCTTCTCTTTTCATGTGCTGCAAACCTTCAGTAGGACTAAAGGTAAGATTCTGAAATTTTGGATATGTGGGAAAACACCCCCCCTTAAAGGGATTAAAAGTAATGGGTGCCTTGCAATGAGCCCTCAATCCCTTAAAAATGCTTCTTAAAGCTTAATCCAACCTGCCAGTGGGAGGGCACTCACCCTTGCCCTAAGCCACGTTCTATAGCTCTTGAAGAAGTGGAACCATTGAGGAGAAGGGAAGTCCTGTTTCCAACGGCATCCCCTTGCTAGGACCTTTCTAAAGGGCACCCTTGCTTACCCCCACTCCACATAGCATGCAGATAGTGATGGAGCCCTTCTGGAGTTCGGGGAACCCCCACAGATCCCCAAGAGCTTACCCCAAGAGGAGGATCGGCAGACCCTTCCTCAGGAATCTCCAGAAGAAATGGCTGAAAGTGATGGCAGTGAGAAGGAGACAGGGCCTGAGGAAGAGAATGATGCTGAGGAAGAAGAGGAAGAGGAAGAAGAGGAGGAGGAGGAGGAGGAAGAGGAGGAGAGGCTGGTAGGAATGGAGCAGGTGTCAGACTTTGCAAGCTCCTTGATGGCAGTCCTCCATTGCTGGCACTATCGGGCCAACACTTTGCTTTTCTCCTGGGGCAGCACGGTGAGGTGCCTGTTCAGTCTCTGCTGCATCTTCCTTATGCATGTTGGCTTGGTGCATGGTTTAGGCTGCTTTCCCTAAAAGCTTCTAATTAATTGGATCTGATCCAACTGAGCCCTGAAGGATACCTGTAAAAGGGAAGCACTTGCATGTACAGCTCTTAACTATTAAGTGGTGCTACCAACTGACTTGGCACTTCATGCTCTCTCTCACAGTCTAACTGGATTTGTGGCTTGATAACAAAAGAGACTTGCTGGGTCTTATTTTCTTAGTGTCTGTTGAAAGTCCATTTTCTAGTGTTTTTTTCCCATGTGCTAGGAAGGTTCTGCTACATTAGTCACTCAATAATGAGATAAAGTCCATCTTTAAGTGGTCCTCTTGCCAAACCCTATTCCATATGCTTTTGGACCCTTCCTTGGATCCAGTACTGAATGCACATCTTACAAATCATTGATCAGACTGCAGATTAAAAAGAAGAGTATCAAGCTGTACAGTATCTGAATGTTGTAGGATATAAAACTGGCTACAAGACAGAATAAAGGCTGGTCTTAAATGAATCGCTGGCTATAAATTATTTTGTGCCTGGGCAGCAAGTTAACTGACATGCCACTGATGTGCGTGTTCTCCTACCATTTGCTTGGCTTATTGCTATGTCCAGTGGCTGGAATATTAGTCCTGGGCCTGTGTAGAGACATTTGATCGTTCTTGAATGCACTTCAGTAGCTGGAGTACACTATCGTTTCTTTCAGCTGTATACATGGGGATATGAATAAGGCTAAGTTGCACCAGAATGATACTAGAAAGTGAATAGGGATATTTGGCTGCTCTTGTCTGATTGTCTAGCACAAACACAACAATTCCGTTCTCAAAACCACCCCATCAGTCCTGTAACAAGATCATTGCTATTTTGGTTCAGGGCAAGGGCCACAAGACACAGGAAGGACCCAAAGAAGACCACTCTTCCAGCATCAGAGAGAGAAACAGGATTGTGGAGACTGTATCATCTGTGCCAAAGGTAAGCAATTGCTGGCTGATAATGCAGCTCTGGTCAAAGCCCAGCCTAATAACTATTTCTATCATTTGCATTATATACGGCACCATATCCTTCTAGTGGGCAGTTTGTGTTGGCCACAAGGGATGCAGCATATAAAATGATTGACGTTTATATGTGCAGATGAACCAAGTTGTATATAAATACATTTCTGGCCTGAAAATTCTGTATCTAAATAACAACCCTGAGCTTTAAAACAGTTGCCTACTAGCTAAATACTGTTTGGTATACAGTTGTGTAGTAGCTAAATATCCAACTGTCATTGCAATCATTTTAATTCAGGTAATAATAATTGAAAAAGCCAGTTTGGTGTAGAAGGTAAGGCAACAGGCTAAAAACCAGAAGACTGTGAGTTCTAATCCTGCCTTAGGCACAAAGCCAGCTGGGTGATCTTGGGCCAGTCATTCTCTCTCAGTCTTAGGAAGCAGGCAGTGGCAAAACATTTCTGAAAATCTTGCCAAGAAAACTCCAGGGACTAGTGTGATTGAATGTATCTACAAAGGGGAGGGTGATGTGGATTGCAGCAGAAAGCAAGGCTATCAGGAAGGAGGGGCTACATTCCAGGAGGGGGGAGGAGCCAAGAGGCAGCATAGTCCGCAGGGGGAGCGTGGGAAGCATAAGAGGTTCAGGATAGCCACTCCCTAGAATCTCCCAGGGTATATCCACTAGTTGTAGGAGTATAGATTTAGTCTGGCAAGATTCTGTCTATATGATGTAAGCAAATAAAGGAACTGAACTCCATTGTTTCATGGTTGTTCTTGGGCTGTGCCTGACAACTAGTCCTGGCAGTTGCCAGGAGTCAACACTGACTTGAAGGCACTCATATCATCATCATCATCATCGAGATTCCCTCTCTATCTCTTCTCTTTGATGTGTTCCCAGGTTCGATCACCCATTGAACTTGACAAGATGTTAGACATTTCTTCTCATACAGAAGTGCATCTGGAAGAGAATCCTCTGCAACCAGATCTAGATCACCATGGGCTCCTGGACCAAGTTTCAGATAGTTTGGAGTCTGCTGAAAATGTAGAAGAGCTGAAGCCACTGAGCAGTGAAGAGGAAGAGGAAGAGGATGGTCATGCACCCCAGTCCAGCAGCATCCTCCCTTTTTCTGTGCTAGATCAGGCCAGTATCATTGCGGAGCGCTTTGCCAGCAGCCTGTCCCGTCGCAACAGCTTGGTTCACGAGGAAGGGAAGGGCTACCTCACACCAAAGATGGCCAGCCGGAGCAGCAGCATTCTGAGCTTGGATGGGGGTGAAAAGGCTGTATGTTGCAACAGTGGCACTACTGTGGACTCCCAGAGTTGCAGCCTCCTGCAAGAGTCCTCTGCTGAACCTGTCAATGCTTGCAGCAGTGCAGTGCGGTCTGGTCTGGTTGAGCCCGACCATACTTCTTGTCGACGGAAGGAGTCAATGCTGTCCCAGCAGGACCGGCTGCTGCTGGACAAGATCAAGAGTTACTATGATTATGCTGAGCATCAGGATGCTAACTTCAGTGTCAGGCGGAGAGAGAGCCTGTCTTTCATCCCCAAAGGGCTGGTGAGAAATTCTGTTTTCCGGATAAATAGTCTTCCCCAGTCAGAGCCTGGCCTGGAGGTGCTGAAGAGGAATAGACTGGGTCCTTTGGACAGTAGTGTAGCAGGACGGACAGGATCCTTGGTGCTTTCAAATAGGCCTCCTGTTGCACTCCACTCTCCCCATTTGGAGACAGCCAGTGAGGAACATCCAGTGCCTATCACTGAAGCAGAGTTCAGGTCACCTAGTGAGATGATTAAAGTCTGGGAGGAGATGGAGCAACCAAGGAGCAATCACTGGAGCAGGAGGACTGAAGACTGTAGGGGGCACAAAGCAAACGGAGGCATTTCCCTCTGCCAGACTGAGTCTTATTTGAAAGACAGACTCAGAAATCAGGAGAATGGCTTTGACCTTCATGAACCACTTCTTATCCTGGAGGATGAGGATCTTGGGGACATAGTAGAGGAGGAGCTAGTGGTGCCCTCTCCTGACAACAAGTCCCCTGTGGAGCAGACTATGCCATCCAGATTACCCTGGAAGGTAGCACAGGAATTAGGGAGTTGTGATCAAGGTCAGAGTTTCCCTCAGATGCACCCTCATATAATGCAGCTGGCTCAACTAACCGAGGCTGAGTTGACAGAGAAGGTGAAGAACAAAGTCTACCAGCTGGCCCGCCAATACAGCCTTCGAATCAAGAGCCAAAAACCAACAATGCCCAGGCGACTTGCTGAAGTGGAGGAGGAGATGAAGAGAAATACCTTGACTGCCCAACAGGGAGCGGTTAAGAGAGACAAAGGTATGTATGGCCATTAAGATATTATGTCGTCAGCTTTGTTGCTATTATCTTAATTACAGTAATAACTAGAAGCAGGGTTGCTGTACAAATAGAGAAAGGAGATTACTATATTACTATTCATCTGTTCCAACTGAAGCTTGCCTATCCTTACCTTAATAAAAGAAAGAAAAGACATTTTGCTCATAAAGAAATGCTTTGTTTCTAAAATTGCAGGCTGATCTCTTAGCTTATTTTGTTATATTATAAAATTACTTTTATCATATTTTTTTGGTCTTAGCAGAATTCCAAGGTAGCTCACAATATTGAAATCCTACAATATAAAAACTAAACATAGGGAACATTAGCACAGTATAATAAGCAATCTCAGGTGTTTAGCAGAAACGTTTCCTTGGCAACACCGTAGAGCTTTTACCATTGTCTTCTGTTGGGATGACTTTTTAGCTTTTCAGTCTAGTTTACAGTCTCAGGATTTCATGGTGGTTTCCCATCTAACTACTAACCAAGCCCAACCCTGCTTAGCTTTTTGAGATCAGCCAAGCTCGGCTAGGAGCTAACCATATAGACCAAACAAATAGCCTATTTAAAAGTCAAGTCATCAGGGAGAGACCTGCCCTACCTCTCTGAGAAGGGAATTAATGAGCTAAGATGCCACATTTGAGAAGGTCCAGCTCAGCATTCTACGGAGATGTCCTTTTGCTGGCAGCAGCATAAGGAGCAAAGTCTCTGATGATGCAGCAGGAGAATAGATTCATGAGGAAGAACCGGTCCTTTCAATATGCTGATTTCAAACTATTTAAGACAATAGCTTCCTGAATTCCCAGCCAGCAGTTTGCTTAACATTCTGGAAATTTTAATTAACTTACTTAGTGGACATGGATTTGGAATGGCTCATTTAAAGTTTTGTGCATAATATATACCACCTTGACCTGAGCCCAGAAAGGAATAATAGCCAGTGATGAAACAAAATGCAGTGAAGTGATCTGAAAAGCAAAACACTAGAAACACCTTTGGTTCCTGTGTTGTGTGCTAACTGAAGCTTCTAAATATTGTTTAGAATCCCCATAGAAGTGCATTATGGTATCCAGTCTGGAAGAGTTTAATTCAGGAGTAGACAATCTGGTTCCCTCTATATGTTTTGGATCAATGCCCATTAGTCCCAGGCAAGCATGGTTCATGGAAAGAGATACTGTAAGTTCTCCAAATATCTACAGGCACAAGATTACCTGCCCATGGATGAAAACCTCTTTAACAGTGGCTAGATCTCCTTTCTCTTGGAAGGATATGGGGAATGGTGCGTTTACCAGGTTTAGGAAGAGAATTTTATGCTAAGTTCTGTTTGCAAAGCCTAGAATTATGTCATCTAGCCGAGGAAGGAAGAAGAGGTTTAAATTACAGTTCATTGTCTAAGGGAACACCACTTTTTGGAGGCTCTCAAAGAAAAAGAAAAAAAAAAAAAGTATATTTCTCCAGACTTAGGTTGGTGGTCCACCTTGTGAGAACTCAGAACATTTGCCATCTTGTTGTTTTCATTTCACTGAGAAATTAGTATTGACAAATGTGGCCATGAATCTAAGTGTATAAAAAGTGACAATTCCCAAATTAATTGCATGTCAAGAAAAACAAGTTCAATAGATCTGATTTTTTTTTTTTTTTGATATGAGGAATGAGAAGTAAGTTAAAATGACCTTATCTAGAAAGGCAGCTCCCCAGAGTCAATTTCTGCTAGGTAGAGTTCGGAAACTGGTCTGGCAGTGCTCTAAGATAAGCTCACTCTCTCTCTCTGGTGCCTTTCCTGAAGTAAATTCTATTTACTTTGTTACTTTCTTTGTTGCTTGTGTATTTCCCTTATCACTGTCTTCCCTAATTCCCATCTCGCCCTGCAAGCATTAATTTGTTTGCCTTAGTTGTGAGCAACCATCAGCCCAACTCCTCCTTGGGTGATTCAGAGGGAAGAGGAATTCCTCTAGTCCTCAGTAGGCCTAACCAGGAGAAGCCCTCTTCTGCAGCCAGGTTCTGATTTTGTCTCTTCCTGTAAACATATGGTTTGTGGGTGTAGAGTTGCTGTTAACTAGGCAAAGGTGTTAGGCTGTGGGAGAAACAGTGAGCTTCCCAATTCCATTCATTGGGTTGGTTCAGCAAGCTGCCCTCTCCTACCTGCCCCAACACTGTCTAATTCTTATTTTCTTTCTTTCTTTTTGCTTAGGCCAAAAGAAGTCTACTTTGTGTCTCCCCAACTATGAACAAATTGTGCTTCAGGAGGCTAGTTCGCTGGGACTGCTTTCCTCTTCCTCAACATGTCAGAAGTCACCCAAGCGCTTCTCTTTCAGCTCTAGCTCCATCAGCCCCCAACTATCCTCCCCCACCAGCACCTGCACCCTCTCCAACAGTCCTCTCAGCCCCATCATGACTGAGAAATTCAACTGGCCTGATGTGCGGGAGTTGAGGTCCAGGTATTCCTGTCAGGTGGCGCTTGAGAAGTGCAGACCCCCACTAGTCAACAGAAGTTGCTCAGCACCTGAGAAAATGGTAGATGATGGTCAGATGCAGGTAGGATTCCAGTGCTCAAAGGGACTTGCAAAAACAGATGTAAAAAGCCAGCAATGGGAGAAGCAGAGCTGCAGGAGAAAGGCCTCTCTTGATTCCATCCCCCAGGAACTTGTTTGTGACACTCAAAAGGAATTGTGTGTCACAGCAGAGGCCTCTTTGGAGAGCAACCAACATGTGATTGTCATGGAGAAGTTGCCCAAGGGGACTAATAAAGCTGATGAAAGAGATTCACTCCCTTCAGCCCAAGAGAAGCTTTCTCTCAAAGCATTGGTGGAGCGGTACAAGTCTTATCAGGACTCAGAAGAATGTCACAGGCATGATGATGATGATGTTCAGGAAGTGTGGTGGGAGAAAACAGCTGGCAGCCAGCACAACCTAGTAAAAAACCTAAGGGAGAAATTTCAGACCCTTAATTCTACCAGCTGAACATCTGCATTTCTTACTCCCATGCCTTAGGTTTTCATATCTCTGTCTCTCCTTTGTGGATTACCATTCAGAATTCTCTTTGCCTGTTGTTCCTCATCATGCATGAAATTTCTGGGAGGTTGCAACTGCCTTCAAGAAGCTGAGAAGTTTTTTTTTTTAAATGCTCTCTTTAAACATCCGTGAACTTGAACCTGGATCTGACTTGCTGCTGACACTCCACCTGGCAGCATTATTGGGCAGAATTCTTAATACATCTAGAAAAATCAGGGAGTTTCCAGTCAGAGCAGAAACAATACGGATCGATCTCCCTTTGGGCATGTTCCTCCCTTCAGGAACAGGCATATTTGGGAATTCTTGCTTTGTCAAGCCAGAGCAAGATGAACATTGCTCAGTCTCTTAGGAAAATAAGTTATTGTTCTAAGTCCTTGTTTTTAAAAGAATGTAATTTTACTATGGCTTTGGTTGATTCCAGGCCTCCCAGCTTGAGAATAGGCAACCTAATACTATTTGTGTACATATCTGAATCTGTATGCACTGTGCAATAACCACTTTTGACCAGCGAATACTGCTTTGACCTCTTTACTGTGGGGGAGGGATATCATTGGGGAAGATTGCAATAACTGATTTTTGTACCACATTTCCTATGCACAAAAAAGCTACAGAGCTGATTGGCAACTCTTGAAGTCAGTGACCTCTCTAAGATCAGGAGTACGAAGGACTGACGCTGGGGTATTAATCCATTGGGATTCTAGGACATTTCAAGTCACATTACCTCACTTTAGCCCATCTTCCTAACATAATTTATCTTGCATTAAAATACCTTTTGAGCAAAGAAATCCTACGAGGTAAAAAGTTCCCCTCCCCTTCCAACATGAAGGAAATAAGTGGTGCCCGCTGACATGTTTTCCTCCCATTTCCAAGGCAGATTGGCAGTTTGCATCCTACAGATCCATAGCCTCTGTCAGAACACCACCTTTTTTTTCCTGTCATGGAGCACTATTGTTTGAGGAGCACTGGTGGTGGATCTCTTGCAACCTGGTGGTGGAAACAAGGTTGTGCCTCTCTCAAAGTAGAGACTTCTCTGCCCTTGGAAATCTAATCATTCTTTTAGCCCTTGGAAGGCCCTTCTCAGTATCAGAGGAATCTGAGGTACAGTTAGATTACTTTGGGCCAATGCTGCTTGAGAGATGCAGTCCAACCAATGCCTACTATGATAGCACTGTAGCCTGAGTTGATGGAACCACCAAAGATTCTGAAGGGGGTGACATGATCCGGAGTGTGTCGGTGGGTTTTCCATCACCTGCAGAAAACATTGAGCGAATCTTTACACTGAAGGTATTTCTTCACCACAGAAATCACTATGACATTCGTGTACCACATAACATCACAACTTTGTAAGGTATGTCAAAGGTATGAAAGTATCCTTTATGTTTAAATTGAGATAGTGGATCATTTAAGCACGCTGCTTAACTGATTTCAGAAGGAACTTCTCCCATGATGGTTTACGAACAGAAATTACACACCAAAAAATTACAGAGCCAGGAAAAGCTTATTTGTTCATTTATTAGAAAAAAAATGTTAAATTGCTTCTGAAGCACATTCTGAAGCTTTAGCTCTTTTCTCTGGACAGTGGAAGCACATTGGAAGCAGGCAGAACGTGATGCCTAGCTGTGAAAAGAGGATTAACTCCAGCCACCAGCTGTAGGAGAGGCTACTTCAGCTCTTGACACTCTGAAGCATGTGTGTTCTGGGCCTGGTCACATGACATTCCCTTCTAACACGCACTGACTTGCATAAGTGGGATTGTGGAGAGCAGTTTAACAAAGACGGAAGAGCCCAGACGGGGTAAGGCTGCAAGTCACCAGGCAGCAAGTGGATCCTATGGGATAATGCCAATGCCTTTGGTCTGTAACAGGTAAGAAGAGCACATTGCTGTGAGAGACAGTCAACTCTACCCACTGCCTACCAGGGAGAAGCCCAGATCATGACAGATTAAAGAAACAGGATGGAAGAAAATGCACCTAAAGAATACAGCCACTTTCTATGAGCAGATAGTACAGGCAGGGCAGTGGTCCTCGTAAAGCAGGAATAGCCTTAAAGAGTATTTTAGTCGTGTGTTTATTTCGGTTATCTGAAAATGGGCAGTGTACTACAAGTTTAAACTTGGGAGTGACAGGTGAAAATGTCCTCCAAGAAAGCAATGAAGAGAGGAGCTTGCTATACACATTCCCGAGTGCAAAAATGTACAACAAAAATGCATTTAAACAAAATGTTCAATAAAAACCGTTCTGGTGGTTTTTGCAAAAGAATCAGTTGAGCACATGCCAAATTTCATGTGCTTGAAGTTACTTTGAATGTAAAAACAAATTTACTGAATCCATAGTACTCCTTTCCAGTTGCCTGAGAGCAGCTTTACACAAGGTAAAACAAAACTCTGTAGTGAAGTTACAACCTCATGCCTCCTTTCTTTGGCTTAACTTGATCTGTGCTATAATAAAAGTGTGCTGCTTAGTATACCTTTTTTCCTATAAGCATAGATTGGAAGAACAGAGAAGAACCCCTTCTTCCTATACCCTGATATGGATTAAGATCAAAGGTGCTCTTAATCCAGAAGTGATTGGGAACAAATAGACTTGAAAGCTACTTGACTGAGGTGGCCAAACCACAACACTGCTCAATTTAATGAGCCCATTTGCTCACAATGACTTGTTTGTTTGACCTACAAACCCAAACTTCAGTTTGGCATTTTACGAGACTTTATACAAAGTTAGGTAGCCTTCATATAACAGCTTTCTGTGCCTCCTACTCTTAAACATACGCTGGGTAAAAGTTGGCAGTGATGCTTCAGAATAGTTTTGGGAAGGAAAATCCACAACGCAGATCATTATAGTACTACTATTTAAAAATTAGTTGCACTAATGTCAAATGTAGTATTATGGAGCTGTAAAAGGGTATATCGCCTATCCATTACAATCCAGGCAATTTAGAAGAGCACAGCATTTGGAGAGGCAACAAAAAGGAACAGAAGAATCTAAAAGCTTGGTTCTTAGGACCTATATCCACGCTCACCGCAATTCATATTAAGCAAAGAGAGAGTTCCCCCTCACGCACCTTTTTTTAGTTGTAAAACTCCCAGTAGTGTCTTGACTTACAGTATCCTTTCAAATAAAAAAAAAGCCCCAAACCTTTCTGTGTATGATGCTTATTGAATATGCTCACTCCAGGAGCGGTAATTATGAAATGCCCCTAGGTTAAGGCACTTTTAGAATGGTATAATATCCCAAACCAAAATTATTAAGTTTAATGAGCCCTAGGGGTTGGATGTTGAAGAGATAATTAAAGAATGGAAGTCTGGCTTGCTTTATAAGAACTGAAAATCCCCATCCACAATAGCATACTTGTCAAGAGGCCGTTGCAGGAACATCAGTCCCTCAGGCCTCTTAATCTCATATGCCGTTGGGTCTCCAAGAATGTGTTCCAATAAGCAATTCCGCTGAGATGCTCTTTGCCCTTTGCACTGAATTTGCGCCTTGGGTCAGGGGCTTGTGGCACTTCATAAAGGAGGGCCAGGAGTATCTATTTTAAAGAGCCAGTCACAAACACACCACAACAGACGTTGCTGCAGAAGAGAGAAGCTGGGGAAAGCGCATGCTCAGCATAACATGTTCCGCAAGGGAACAGCAGAAGAGCCATTTGCTTCTGGCAAGCTGAGCCAGTACAGACAGATGTTTTTAGAAAGCTTGTGGGCAGGCATGGCACCTGCACTCTAGTCACAAAGGGTATGTACTTTGCCATAAAGAATAGGATTAATAAAAATCTCACTATGTAACATGGAGCAAAATCCAGCAAAAGTTGGTTGCAAGTTAGGCCCACTGAACTCTCTCAATTTGGCTAGTGGGGGAAATGCATAAGTGATAATAGCTGGATTGTGCTCATAGTTGCATAGAAAGTGAATATGATTTATTTCCTATGTGTGTATTTCTACAAATATCTCAATTCCAAACAATTTAGTGCATATGTTTGAATATAGATAATTTCATTTTCAGATTGTACTCTGGATCCACTATAACCATCAGGGTTTTTGCCTGCAGTTTATTGGGTGTCGACTGAACCCTTGAGTTGAAAGAATACTGTGCTTTATGACATGAATGTGTGTAGTTAGATTGCAGCTCTCTACAGAGAGAAGCATTTGGCCACCTGAAACTGCCTTCTGACAATCTAGCACGAATGCTGAAATAATCCAGGAGTTGGATGAAGGCATGCTGCCTTTGTTCTTCTGAGAGAGAGAGACTTCTATGTGGTGATTCTACGCCAACAGGAGAGGGGGAAATCAGCTTACAGGAACCTGAGCTTTTGGTAGTGATCTGGAGATACAAAGAAAGGGAAACTGCTTCAAGACTGCACACTTTTTTCATTGCCTTTTTGACTAGCTAGGTCTCTGTTCCACTTCTTTTCTCTGTAACGTTCCTGAAAATCCACACAGCATTGTTCTCTTAAACAGTACTTTTCTGGAGAGATGTCAATTTGGTCAGCCTTGCTGAATTTTACCATCTCAGTCAGCCATCCCAGAATATGCCTCTCCCAGCTCTGCTTTGGAGAACACTGCTTGTCCTGAAGCAAGGATGCTCCTTTCTTCCCTGAAACATTGGCTTTGTGCCATCTGGGGAGATGTGGTGAAAAATGAAGAGGAAGTGAGATCCGAGATCTGTGTGGGGAACAGTGCTGGGTGGTGGCAGGAGTGCCCAAGGAGACCCGTGCATGCAGATTTTCACTATGCACGTTAGCACATAGGCATCTGACTGGAGCAAGCGGCTATTTCTTTTTGGGAAAGAAACTGAATCTCTTCTCTTTATCTTTCTTGGTCAGGTTCACATCTGTGGTGGTGATGGGAGGCAGAGGGAGACTCTGAGCCTTGGATTTAATGCTTTGGGAGTCAATTATTGCTGTGCTGAATCCCAGTAGCCAGGTGTGCATCTCATCCTGTTGAACAGGGACAAAAAAACAAGCCAAATAAGCCAAAAACCAGGGTCCCCCATTTCAGTTGCAAGATGCTATAACCAGCAAAAATGCTGTCCCCTGAAGAATGAAAAATGTACTTCAGAATAAGAAACTATGAATTTCTATTTAATACAGTGATTCCAATAATTTCCTCACAAATATTCAAACTCATTGGGAAGTTGTAAATGTCCCCCTAATGGGCTGGAATAGCTGAAATGAAGGAAATCAAAATATTAAAATTGAACAAATTAGCCAAGAAACTAGATGCAATGAGAATGATTGAACTATATAATCCTATGAACACTTACCTAGGAGTGAGTCCCACTGAAATCCTACTTCATAAGACTTACTTTGAGTGAGTGTCTGAGTTTATATATTAAAACATCTGCTTATTCATCCTGCTCTTGAATCTCTGCCTGAAGAGGGACATTCTTCCTGATTCCCTTTGATTGGAAATCAAGCCTCAAAATGGCATTTTTATAAATCTACATGATTTTATGTTCTTCTGATGCTGGAGCAAGTCCACAGAATTTGCAGGCTGAAGGAACCATCTAAACGTTCTTTA